ATAATATAATATAATATAATATATTATATTATATTATATTATATTATATTTTTTATATTGTATTGTATTAATAAAATAGTAATTCACCCATATATGAATAAATAAAATGAAAAATAAAATAAATTTACTAAAATTATTTTAAGCAGTTTAATATACATATGAATGCGATATCTGTCAAATGAGCATGCATCTTATTGCCGTACCATAGTTTCCAGTGTAGATGTCTTCATTGATTATAGGAGGTTGAAGTTTAGGTTAGTATGTAGAGTTAAAGGATAGACTTGGATGATGCGGTTAAGGTTACGATCAGATTAAGGTTGCGTGTTTTAACGGGACTGGAGTAGGGTTTAGGATTTAAGCTTTGCAGCAATGACCAACATAGAATGCTGGTCCAGTAACATGTCCTGCATGACTAACTCATGTGCCTGGAGAGGACCCACTTCTGTCTGGATAACTCTGTCAAAGGTAAATGGGTAGTTAAAGCTTTTCTGTCACAAAGATAGGAACCAGACTGTTGAGTGATCGCTTGAACCACTGAAACTAATTAAATGTTGTGAGCACCAAGAGAGGGGTCAATAAAAATGATTAATGTTCTTCACTTCAGAAGAGAAGGATGGACAAATAAAACTAGTTTGGTCAGCTCAGATGGCCCTCCTGGAGCAGAGACAGGACAGAAACTCACTCATTTGGAGAAGAAAAGAGATCATCCAATGCTGAAAACTCTGTCTCTATTCACCCTTGTCTCCCTTTTCCTCTTTGTGTTGAATCTCATTGGGACCGAGGCTTGAAATGTCCAAGTAAAAATGATCTATGAGTGCTTTGTTAGAGTAGAGGCCATTGGGACAGACAGTAGAAGACAGTTATCCAGATAACAAGGTGGAATAATGTACATGACAGGAGCTATTCAGCGGCTTGAAAACCTGAATTTCTTTGGCTTCTTTCACTCTTTCACTCCCTGAAGGTGTTACATTTTAGTGAGTGATATGGATTACTCACAGTGTCATGGTAACAGTAACCATGGAGAGGAGTGGGATGGGTCAGCGTTCTCTGATATACAGGGTCCATATGTATGGGAACCAGGGGCAACCTTAAGTCAAGGTCACAAACTGACTAACCAATCAAACGTGATGTTTTAATGCTTCAGGCATTTACTAGTCACATCTCCAAGTGTTCTGAAACACTTTGCATTTCTTGCATGTAGCTTACCGGTTTGTTGTGATACACACTCCAAAAACAGCCTAGGAGGAGAAACATGCCCTCCTTATTACTGCTTAACTTTTTGACCTCCTTAAATATCCACATACATAAAAAAATAATTTGGCTGTGTCCCTTCAGAGGAAATTGCAATTTAAAAGTTTGTTTTGCGGACCAGTTTTAGTGAAGGCAACAGGATGTGCATGTGGATTTTGTTAAAGTAAATTTGTACATTAATAATTCCAGTTCTAATTGGTGCAGCCAAGTATATGCTTGTTAGGTTAATGGACTATATTATGGTATATGAATAGTGGGGCTATAGCGTAGCATAGTTCTGGTTACTAATAGAAATTAAATATGTGATTTTTTATTGTTGCTGCGGTTTTATAGAAACAGTAGGCCAGAGTTTTTACTTTTTTCTATTTCTGTTATTTAAATATTTTCTATTATATTTTATATATACTTTCCTGTTCAAAAGTTTGGGGTCAGTTAATGTTTTTTGAAAGAAGTCTCTTATGCTCCAAGTCTGCATTTATTTGATTAAAAAATGCAATAGAACAGTAATATTGTGAAATATTATTACAATTTAAAACATTGTTTTAAATTTTTCTTAAATTTTTCTTAAAGTTTTCTGTTCTAATATATTTTAAAATGTAATTTATTCCTGTGATGTCAAAGCTGAATTTTTAGCAGCCATTACAGCAGCATGTCACACGTGTTGGTGCTTATACTCTCAAAGTTGAAAACAGTTATGCTGATTAATATTTTTGTGGAATCCGTGATGCATTTTTTTAGGATTCTTTGATAAATAGAAAGTTCAAAAGAACACCATCCATCCATCCATCCATCCATCCAAACTTGCTTCCAAACGTTTTTATTGTCACTTTTGATCAATTTAATGCATCCTAGCTGAATAACAAAATACATGTAAAACAATTTATAATATTTAAATTATATTAAATATTTATTTAAATACTTAAAATATTTTTATACTTAATTATATACTTAAAATGAGTAAAATTTTCTTAAGATTCCAAACAATATTCAAATCATAATCAAAAAAATTATATATTAAACATTAAAAATAATTAAAATTCAGTAAAGTCACATCGGCTCTGAATTTTAGGGAGGTGTTAATATTATTATGTCAAGTCAAGTCAAGTCACCTTTATTTATATAGCGCTTTTAACAATACAGATTGTGTCAAAGCAGCTGAACAGCATTAATTAGGAAAATAGTGTGTCAATAATGCAAAAATGACAATAGTAAACACTAATTTTTCAGTTAAAGGCAGTTCATCATTGAATTCAGTGATGTCATCATCCAGCTCAGTTCAGTTTAAATAGTATCTTTGCAATCAATATTATGTTGTGCCAGCTCCATTACAGAAATTATAAAATAATTTTCTGGGATTTTTAGATAATTCCTCTCATTTCATTTCCCCATTTTCAGGTCTGTAGCCTGTTTTGTCCATAGGATTAGTGGTGCATGTATAAATATGTGAGTGTATATATCAGTTAAAATAATTGTGTTTTTCTTAGTGCCCCAAGTCTTTTTCCTAGAGGCTAGACACACATGCACACACAAATGCATTCACACAGCGCCTGTCTCTCTTTCTTAAGTGCTTAACACTACACTACCCCTCTTTGTGGCTTCATAAACACGCATATTTAAAGAGCACAGCCTGGACATTTAAACTCCCCTGAAGGCTTAAGAACCAAATCAATGGATTCCCACAGATAGAGCTCGTCGTCTTCTGCCCCTCTACACACATCCAGTTAATGGCGGCCAAACAGCCGCCTGGAGTCTAAGAGAAGTCAAGGTGAACCCCATCAGACACAGGCTGTGAGTTTAATGCTCTGCTGCTGACACACACACTGATAGAAACGCACTGTGCACAGCTGCACACAGAGATTATAGTTAATGCTCACGCTACTCTGTGGTCAGGCCCGGAGGAGGCTGACAGTTGTTTTGATCAGAGGGAGTCTTGGAAGAAAGCGATGGAAGCATGGGGGAATGGAAAAGAGTGAATGAGCAAGAAAAATTGGATGAGCTCAGAGATTATGTGTAAGATTAGATACGTGATATGTGGGTATTTCAACAATTTCATAACACCTATATTATGAGGTGTCCACATATTAAACCAAAGTGTCTTTGAAAGACAGAGGAAAAATGCAAGAAGTATTTAATAGTGAGTTGTTTTATTTTATATAATGTCATGTTTTGTGTTTAATAATTTCATTATTGTTTTTACTCTTAATGTTGCTTTGTTTTCCACTCATCTCTTTATTTGCATATAAATGAGATAATTTTATATATATATATATATATATTAATATTAATGAAGCATACACAGCACTATATATATATATATATATATATATATTACACTCATTTTAATTTAAATGTATTATGTGTATGTTCTATATAATATATTTTGTATATAAGTGCTGTGTATGCTTTGTTAATATTATGTTAATATTTGTGCCAGTCGTTGATTCTGACTCTGAAATAGCACAGCGAGATTAGCTGATCCTCCACAGATGGTTTTCATTTGCTTGTGCATCAGGGTGTGTTATTAAGGCTGTTCTCATAAAAGGCATGACCTCCACTTTGTCATCAGCCATTATAGAGATATAAACCAAAGCAGAACTCCAAAACACTGCAGACCTTTTTCCTTCTTCTTTGGCCACAGTAATTATGTGCTTTGCCCTATGTTTGCGGTGGAGCAGTGCCGATAGGAGTTCTATTATTGCTGCGGTAATGATAAAACACGTAATAATATCATTGTGGTAATTGTGGGAAGTGTGACGGTGTTGCCGTGGTAATAATTAGAAGTGTGATTGCTTCACTGTGTGTGTGTATGTATGTGTGTGTGTGTGTGTGTAATTTTATCTTAATACACACACATTGTACAACAGCACAGTCACAGCTGAATTCACACACGTGTGTGACCAGATGGAAAGGCTCAACATGGATATTTCAATGGTACCTGTTCTATTTTTTCTTTATTATTTATGAGTACTGCAAATTCTTAGATCAATCGTCTTATACATTGATATAAAATGCGAATTCCATAACATGGATCCCTTGTAAATTTTTCTATATGGAAAACACTGGATAAAAGGGAAAGATAGATAGATGGATGGATGGATAGACAGATAGATAGATCAGAGTTTGCAAGCATTATTAACTAAATTTCACAATTTTTAACCAATGCATTTAATGGCCATTCAAAGTCAGTCTCAGACAGCTAATGACATCGATAAGTATAACCTGAAGGACACATGCATTACACAGCAGACAATACTTGACCACGCTGCTCTTCTGAGCCGCTCAATGAAATGTGTTTCACTCAATAAAACCATTACAGACACCGGAAGGAAGAATTATTGAGGCCTCAAAAGATTGAGCTCACAATTAATTCTGCAGGGCTTCGAGAGCAATGGAGAACACATTACAGCAGCTCCTAGTAATACATCTATCATATTTTAAACCTTAAAGGTCACCAGGTTTAGAGTCCACGGCTAGATGGAAACTGTTGACCTTGACACAGTGAAACTGTACGCACACACACAGGTGATGCATAAACCCATATTATTATTTAAATATGTTATGGCCCACCTTAGTGTGCTCTGTGAGACACTCAATACACGATTTCATCACCACACACACACACACACACACACACACACACACACTTCCCCCACTCACACACTCCATTTGTGAAATATTACCTAAGCAGGTGATTCAGTATTTTCCAGTGACTAACCGGTACTCACAACTTACCAGGCATTTTCCAGTGCTGTGAGGAGGGAACCTGCAGAGCAGTCCTGAACATGGCAGGTGAGACTCATTTCACACCCGTTTTACACTCCGACTGTGTCATTTTCCATCGATGCAGCAATATTTGCACTTTGAGTGACGTTTTGTGTCTGTGTTCGCAAGTCCAGTCAGCTGCGTCCAGTCAGGCTGTTACAAGGCCTGAAGAGAACATAGTTGTTTGATATATTGGACAGCATGAAGTTCATTCTCATTTTGCGTCACTGTTCCTGTAAAAAAAAAAAACACCACATTGCTGCAAGAATCTTTTTTCATGTCTTTTACTGGGTTCATTAAAATGAGCTTGGCTCTGTGTCTCACTGCAGCAGCTGAGTGCTGACTGTGTAGCTTCTGTTTTTTGCTTCTTTATAACATCCTTCTCCTTGGCTGCTTTCTCAGTATAACCCACATATTTTTAGTAGTGTTAGTTTAGTTGGCTTTAAAATAATAGTTTGATAGTTTACTAACCCTCATGTTGTTCTAAACTGGTGTGGCTCTTTTTCTCATCTAAAATGGCAAAGGAGAAAAATTATGAACTTCCAAGCTCTTTTTTATACAGTGAAAGTGAATGGTGACTAAGGGCTGTCAATCTCAAATACACAGTGTCATAAAAGTGGCCCATATGACTCATGCACTATATTCTGAAGTCATACAATAGCTTTGTGTATAGAGAACAGGCTGAAATGCTTCATTATTTACTGAAATTCTTGCCATAAATCGAGCTTGACATCTGTGGTCACCATTCACTTTCATTGTATGGAAAAAGAGCTTGGAAATTCATAATTTTTCTTTTTTTGTTCCACTGAAGAAAGTAAGTCATACAAAATTCGAAAGACATGAGGATGAGTAAATGATAACACTGTGAACTCCACTTAACACACAGCCACTTCCTGTCATGGATGTGTGTATATGAGCGGCGTATGTTGTTTATACATTTTTATGACTGCAGAAGGAATATGAAAGTGTGTAGTAACTAGTAAGGACTGCAACACACTTGACTCATTTAATGAATGTCTTTCTCTAAAATCTTTCCATTAACTACATCAGCATAACCTCTCAGTCATGTCTGTTTTGGGCCCTGAAACAACAGCACCGCCCCTGGAAATAACCTAGCAGTTTCTCAGGTGTCCCAATATTAATGTAAATTACTTTGGTTTCTGTGCAACCAAGTGTTACATAAAGCCTCTTTTATTCAACTGCTAAGTGGAGCAATATTTTTTATTCCTCAATTTTTTTTTTTAAACTGTAAAACACACTTCCCTCTCATGTCCAGCCCCATATTGTTGTCACAACCGGGACAAAGAGGCAGACAGGCAGGTTAACGTAAGTCAGAGAGTTTAATAATAGGAACTTAGGAGAGGCTTCCAACGGAAAAGAGTTCAACATAGGGAGTAATGGAAGCGAAAACACAGTCTTATCTGGGTCAGCACTCCGGTCCTCCCGCCGAGAATTGAGGATTCCGAGGGGGACAGGCAGATCGGAAGGCGAGGAACCAGGACAGAGAAGCTTGCAACCTTGAGACCAGCCGATATGTATTAGTGATTATATATTATTAAATGATATCTTTAGCTGAATCAAGCCGCGCATCGCGTTCTTCTTCTGGGTAAAATTCCAGGGCTGCGTTTCCCAAAAGCTTCGTAAGCCTAAGAAGTTCGTAAAAACGATCGTACGACTGATCTTAATATTACGGTCTGTTTCCCAAAAGCATCGTAACTTAAGTAGCACTTGAAAATCATCGTAGATCTACGAGTGCTCTGGAGTAATCGTAAAGCCCTAAGTGCATCGTAAGAAGAAAGATTTATGCGGTCACCTGCAGGACAATCGGCAGATTACACCTTTAACTTTAGTCAAGTGCAATGTGATTATAATATAAAGTGTATAATATACACTTTATTAGTCGCTTTTTTTGAATTTATAAATGAAATAATTAAAAAGGGCAGAAAAAAATAGAAGAATAATAAAAGATAGAATAGAATAAATAATCAACAGAATTATTTAATAATTATTAGAATAAATAGAATAAAATAAGTAATGTAAATATGCTTCAAATTTGTCAATGACTTACTGACGTGCACGAAAACCAATGTATTGGACCCGGAAATAACGTCTCTATGTAGATATTATATACTATAATATATTTTTATATAAAGTATATTATAGGCTATATAATTATGTAAAATATAATATTATACGTATAAATATAATATAATATAACATAATATAATATAATAATAGTTATTATATCCAAGTTCTCTGGAACGCAGCATTAGGTTAACATTTCAATAAACGCGCGTGTACTACAATTACTAGCCATTCTATAAGGTGGCATTTCAGCACTTGACAAACGGATAGCGACTCCTAAGTAGCACTTAAAGCACGGCTACGTGCGATTGCGTTAAGTGCATTTTTGGGAAATGCACGTGAAACAATAACGAACGATCGTAAAATGACTCGTAGAAAACGCTCTTAAGCTCTAAGATCAATCGTTATCGAGAAACGCAGCCCAGGCTTTGCTTTATACTGAAGGAATAGGCTGCGCTGCGCCTGGGTGTGAGCACAAAATACAGATGAGCTCAGACGGGAAAGACTGTATAGTACCTCTTGTTGGATTTAGGCTATACGAATTAAATAAAAAGGGACAAAGAGGCAAACAGACAGGTTAACGTAAGTCGGGAAGTTTATTCAGAGGAACTTAGGAGGAGCTTCCAACAGAAAAGAGTCAAACGTAGGGATAAATGGAAGCATAGAACACAGTCTTATCTGGGGTCGGCACTTTGGTCCTTCGGCCGAGAACTGAGGAATCCGAGGCGTGACAGGTAGATCGGGAGGCAAGGAACCCATAGAGAGCAGCTTGTAACCTTGAGACCAGCCGACGAGTGACTGAGGTGAGTGAGTATTTGACTGGTGTGGTAAGTGGGTGCAGGTGTCCGTGATCAGTAATCAGGTGATTGTGAGCGGGTGTAGGAGGCTGATTCGGCTGGTGAGGCAGGTGTTTCCGTGACAATTGTCACAGTAAGCTAATTTCAACATTTGCTGTAATTCTTGCTGTAACTTCTTTACTGAAGCTGAAAGCAGTCAAGATAGGACACAATTAGCACTTTAAAGTGGAGGGAAGCCCTGTGTGAATAAATTAAAGCAGTGCTGCCTGAGATCAGGAGACAGACACTTTCAGTAAGTCAAGAAACAGCCTCATTCCCATCAACTCTGCTAAACATCTTAGTGGGTTTTGTAAGACCCAACATTCCAGTGAGACGTTGACAAAAGCTTGACATTGTACAGTTGCTTGTCAAAAGCAGATAAAGTTGAAAATTAGAGATGCACAATATATTGGTTCCATATCATTTATTGGCCGATATTAGAGATTTATAGAGATTTATTTATATATTGGATATTTAATTGCACATGTTCATTTCAACTATTTTTACATTTGGATGCCGTCACCAGCCATCACCCAATCTTTAAAAACACTAATAATTTAATAAAGCTTTTAAATATAATCTTTAGCTAATTTTATGTTTTAAAAATTTTTTTTGACAAAATAATATAGAATTTCAATATATGCTATTTATTATTAATCGGCCAAAACAAAATAATTATCTGTTTATTGATATCAGCCATAATTTTAATATCGATGCGCCCCTACTGAGTGCACTATGAAAAAAATCCTGTAGTTTTTACAGGAAAAAAAAAACTGGCAGATGTGGTTGCCAGAATAATTCTGTAAAAATGTAAACGAGCAACCTGCAAATATTATAATTTAAAACTGTCATTTATAAAGCAAAAAAAAATAACAAATTCACATTTTAAACTGGTAAATCCAGCAGCTGGTTTCTGTTGAATTATGGCCACTGTTACAAAAAAAATAAAAAAATAAAATTGTAGCCTTAAAATATTGACAGCCACCATAATAACACAGGTGGTATTTAATAGTATTTTACTGTAAAGATATTTTGCAGTGTTTTACCGTTAAAATTACAATAATTTTTTACAATGTATGGATGGAATATTGAACACTTGTGAATTGATCTTCGTGAAGAATGCCATTTTTCAGGCTTCTGAGCAGATGTCTTTTACATGTCCTGATGAGAAAGGTGTTGTTTTGATGCTCGGTCGCTCTGTTGTGTGGTCTGGTCAGCGTGGTGCTGTTTCTTCTGAAATCACAGCTGCAGGCACAAGCTGTGACCCCCTCACTCTCAGTCACAGGGAGGCAAATGTCCATGAGGAAACTTTGATATGTTAGCCCTTCAAAAGACCGATAGTGTCAACAAAGACAGTGATACTTGCTGAAAAACGACATTGTGTAAGATACCAGAGGTAACTGTAGTTTCTGTTTTTCTCACAAGATCCTAACTAGGCAAAAGGTAACTGAAGAAAACTGTTTCTTGAGAAAAGGTTAGCTGTTTGCCTTCACTGGTTTGAGAATTGATTGGCATAAAGACAGGGCAGAGCTGTGAGCATTGTTATTTCTGCTTCCTTGACTTCTCATTCTGCATATTTTCCAGCTGAGAGTGTGCGTGTATATGCATGAGAATATGTGCCTGTGTGATTTGTAATATCAGAAGAGCTGCTAGGCTAATTTTCCATTCCTTTGATCTGATTGGAAGCCACTAAAATCTGGTGAGGACCATCTGGAAAGTACCTGTATTTATGAGAGTATAACAAGAACGGAAATGCCCATGTGGCTTGCTTTAAACACCAGTTCCTGTTCAGTTCAGATTTTTGTGTGTTTTTTAATTCATTGCTGAATTCTTATGGTGAGGGATGCTATTGATCAAGACTAGGAAGAGAAGGGGTTGTTTTGGAGAGCACAGTAGTGGCATTCCGTTTGGGCTTGAACCAGCAACCTTTCAAAAACCAGCATACTTTCTAGCCCCGCAGTTGTTGAGTTTGGAGTGTAGTTCTACAGAGATAATGTTGGAGGTAGTGCTGGGATAGGTTTCAGGTGATGTGTGAACCGTGGTGGTGTTTCTTGAGTAGTTTTAGGAGTGGTTTTGGATTAGTGTGGTGATCAGTGTGTGACTTAT